AGCAGCTCCAGTGGGACAATCTCTAGGGCATAGATAAACAACACACAGTGCATCTCTAAGAGTCTTTTCCCAGACTTGATTCTTTGCCTTGCTTTGGAATACTCCCAAAATCCTAAATCTCATTTAAAAACCTGGTAAGTGAAAATAGTTTGGACGATTTTACTGAGCCTATCTAGACAGAACAGGTTAGACACCAACTTAAAAAACAATAACTAGAACAGCAGGAACACACATGCTTTACCTCTGAGAAAGCAGGGCTAATTCCTACAACCTGCTTAGGAATGTTCCATGAATGGATTAAAAAAAAAAAAAGAGAAAAAAATGAGAGCATTACTCTGGATTCTTTCTCAGAAAACTATTAGGCAGCGCATTAGCTTACCAATAAGGGTCCATGCATTAACATGGTATCTCTGGAACCATGCAGCTAATGCATTTTTTCAAGTCCACCCTAAAGCTAACTCAGCTACCTTGGAAAAAACAAAAAAAATCTTTGTATTGAGGTTTCTGTGAGCCCAAAGGAGGAAAAGCCTACAATGCGCACACTGAAATTTTGACAGTACAGCTCTCAGTCCAAGAAGGCTTGGTTTAAACTTTACCTTTTTGCCTTTTGCTTTATCTTTGATGATAATTTCTTCCTCTTTTTTACCAGAATTTTCTTCCTCTTCCTCCTCCTCATCAGGAAATTCCGGTGGGCAACCATACAACTCCATTTCTCTTTTCAGCTTATCTGCACAAGCCTGAACAGAGTTATTGGGAGTGTGTCAGCCAGGGTACCAGCTGCATCCACAGCCAAGGAGTGGGTTTTACTGATGACATGTTGCATTACACGCTTTAAACTTTTTTTGGACCTTGCATTAAGTTCTAGGAGATCCTGCCACTTTCAGAACACCTTCCAGGGCAGGAAGAGGTTTACTGTAAGGATTTTCTTGCAAAGGAAAACATACAACAGGTAAAATTCAGTTTTCCAGCACTGTGTCTTTTAAAGGGATGTTATAGCTCAAGCACAACACAGGTTTATTACAAATTCAGGTTCCAAATTACACTGTCTTGGTGAGTTTTTAAATAAACTAAGGTGCTGTTGGGGATGGACAGTAAGCAAGGCCCCGAGCAGCCTTAGGGATAAAAACCCCATCAGAAACAACCCCCCAGCAACTGGCAAGGTCTCACCTTGATGGGCATCCCCGTGCAGTGCAGCCCAAAGGGAAACAGGCAGCTCCTCCCCTTCAGCCTCTGGTACCCGACAGCAAACTGCAGGCAGGGAAAAGGGAACAGCTGAGCCAGGAACGGCAGGGCTGGGCCAGCTCCTGCTCACACACAGCTGGGACCCCTTCTGCAGCACAGCCAGGGCAGGGGACAGAGCTGGGGCAGCAGAAAGGGCCGGGCTGGGCCAGCTCCTGCTCACACACAGCTGGGACCCCTTCTGCAGCACAGCCAGGGCAGGGGACAGAGCTGGGGCAGCAGAAAGGGCCGGGCTGGGCCAGCTCCTGCTCACACACAGCTGGGACCCCTTCTGCAGCACAGCCAGGGCAGGGGACAGAGCTGGGGGCAGCCGTGCTGAGCTTGTGTCCAGGCCTGCCCTGCGGCTGCCCAGGCACAGGCGTGCCAGGCTGCCAGGCTGGCTGCACCAGAGACCCACGGGGGCACAGGGGGCTGCTCTGGAATCCCAGCACCCAAAACCTGCCCCCACACAGGCACACAGTCACTCAAAACCTGCTCCCACACAGAGCACAGCAACCACCAACAAAAGGGACAGGTCTCCCGTGAAGCTTGAGCCATTCAGCAGCACCTCCTAAAAATCTCATTTCAAAGAACAAACTGGGGAAACACCTGAGCCCCATCTCATCAAATTAAAAATTACATTAATAGAATTTCACTTCAGCTACCAATATTCCTACTGAAAATGTGGGGAAAAAGGGAAGTTTAATAAGTCATTACTAAAGCTACAAAGGAATTGACATGGCATCCTATTAGCTCAAAACTGAACTACAAAATCAGCATTTGTTCTAGAATAGTACTTAAAGGTGTCAGCAAAGGAGAATTCTTACCTCACATTTAGATAAGGAAAACGTGTGTCCCAGATGCAGGCGGCCATTCATGTAAGGGTAAGGAAAGGTAACAAAGTACTTCTCTTTGCTGAGAAGAAAGTCAAAGGATTAAAACACATAATGAGCTTTGTAAATGACCATCAGACAATACACAGCAAAACAGGTAACTGGTATGTTCAGCTATTATCAGCCCACAGTGATGTTAAAATATTTTCCTTGCCAGTGACATGAGTCTTTAATTTAAAGCAGCTGATACACTAACAGGCTTTATCACCTTAAAAAATAAACACAAAAGTAAAGACCCACAGAGAACTGGCATCACATAGAAACATTGGAACTGATACAGCATGCTCCCAAAGGTAACAAATTATAATTCTGCTTCTGCAAATTAATTACAGCAAAGGTTTAAAGTAATTTATTTAATCTCCCACTGTGTGAGTTCAGATTTTAAGGGCACGCTGCAAGCAATCACTCCTTTCACAGGGATATATTGTTGCAGGGTGTTTCAAAGATGTATTACGTTGTTGGAACCCGAGCTCTCAAAGCAGCCAAGAAAATATTTACATTTAGCACACTGAATTTCTACCTCCACCTTTGTACTTCACGCCTTGTCTCTCCCCTTCACACACTCCCTCGATCCACTACCATGAAGGAATAAAGGCCAAGTCATTTGTTTGCCTGCAAAATCTACAAGTTAAGAACCTGACACCTGTTACACCACTTCAGTTACTATCTTGGTTTAGTCTGACTTTCCCACACACCAAATATTAACCTCATGGTGCCAAGGTCACTGCTTTTCCAGCCAGGGACCTTCCACAGGATTAATGCTGCTCCCCCACAGCCCCCCACACCTGTGAGGAGCGTGGATCCCACCAATTCCAAAGGAACTGTGCTTCCAGGCACGCTCCACATTCCCAGAGGACAGACAAGTCTCTCAGGGCTCACCCTGGGGCAGAAACAAGAGCAAGAGTGCCATGGTGTTCCCCAGAGTGCAGAGCACTCTCTGCACTGTGCAAGGCTCTCCCTCCATCCCTGCTGGGGCTGGGGCTGGGGTGACCAGGGGGGCTCACCCAGGACCCTGCCCCAGCTCCACACAAGGACAGGAGGCTGCTCCACAGCACACCCGGGGTCTGCGCAGCACTGCTGTGTCCTGTGAGGCAGAGCAGGACACACCTTCCCTCAGCGTGAAACCTCCCCAGGCAGAGGGCTCAGGCACCCACTGCGGAGCCTCCTCCACGCCAAAGGGCACGAGTCACCAAAGAGAACTGGTGTTCAGCCCACAGAGGGCACTGACACTGCCAGGGAATGAGAAAGCTTCTCTCATCCTGCTGGAACTCAGCCACACATGCACCCAGCTTTATGTCATCGGCTACAGAAATGCCAACAACGTGTGAGCAAGTCCCTCCAGCCGAGCCGTGAATACTGCACATTACAATGGGGCCACTTTTCCCCCCAGCAGATCTTGAAGGAAAAGACATTTCAAGCAGTGACAAACCCAGTACAACCATACCTCCTCTGGTCCCTCCTGTCTGCAGCATTGACCTCAAACACTCGATCACGCTCCCACTTCTGCTGGACCTCTCTTTCAATCTTCTTCAGGAAATCCACTTTCGCTGTTCCTTTACGCTCCTGTTCAGCAGAGAAAGGAAGAGAGGTCTGGCTGAACAGGGTAAGAAATAACAGGACTGTAACCCATCACAGACCACCCTGATCTCCTTGGGCAGGGGAAGCACTGCCCCAGGTCCCTGCAGCAGCGGTGGCTCTGCCAGCCCGAGATCCAGCCCTCTGAAACTGGAGCCAAGATCTGCAAGGAAAGCACCAACAACCATTTCCCACAGCAAAGGACGCTACAGTAGCCAGGACACACACATACACACTGGCCATCTTGCCAACAAAGAACAAACTCAGAGATCTCTGATCTGGGGAGGTAGAAGAGGATATAAATCATAAGTGAAAACCCCTACAGAACTCTGGTTTTATTCCAGACTCTCCATAAAGCCATGTGGTGCATCCCCCTCTTGACGTACATAAAGTGGGCACAGCACTCCCTATGCCAGGAAGGGGGCAGGTAACAGCTCTAAGTGTAGTTCACGGAGTTCTTCAGGTAAAGCATTCCAAGCGATTTTCATTAAATCCGTGCTCAGTAGCCCTTCCTCTCATTCTTTTATCACATAACATATGGCAAGTATTAAAGGATCTTATTCTTTCGCCATATAACACACAGGAATTGCTAAAGGACACACGCATTACGGACACACGCATTCTGCACTCATAAAGGCTGAGGATGTCGTTTTTGCCCATCAAAACCAAGACACGCCTAAGACCTTTACACCACGGGGCCGCAGCCGCCGGCCAAAGGCCCCGCGCACGCCGCTATAGGACCCTCGTTCCGGAGAGCGCGGCGCCGAGGAGTGACCCTGAGGAGCGGGTGAGGAGCCCAGGAGCGCCCCGAGCCCGCGCAGAGCCCCAAAGCCGGAGCCCCGGCCCGGCTCCCGGACTCACCGCCATGTTGCCGCGCCTGACGGGGCCCGCTCGGGCCGTGCCAACCGCGGCAGCGCGCTGGGGAGCCCAGGCCGTACCAAGGCAGCGGGCGGGGGGACACCGGGCGCTTTTTAGAGTGCGGGGAGGGGAGAGAAGGAGAGCGGCAGGGAGAGCGAGCGGAGCGGTCACTGCGGGCACTCGTCCCGGCTGGGGAGGGAGAAACGAGCCCGGTGCGCCGGGCCGAGGGGTGAGCCCGCCGGCACGCTGTCCCTTTAAGAGCGCCCCCCCCAAGATGTCGCCGCGGGTTCATGTGCTCGCTCTACCGAACTTGCTGGTTCTCCCTGACCCTCGGCTCGGGATCCGGGCGGCTGCCATTGGTTGGCAGCGCGGAGCGGCAGCTTCTGATTGGTGGGATGGCGCGGCCCCGCCCCGGCCATGCCCAGCAGGCTGCGCTGCGGGCGGTGCCGGGCAGGTCGCGGCCATGGCGGCGGTAGTGTAGCTGGGAGCGGGCGGCGCGGGGCCACCATGATCATCGAGAGCGTAGACGCGCTCAAGTCCTGGCTGGCCAAGCTGCTGGAGCCCATGTGAGTGCGGGCGGGCGGGCCGGGCGCAGCGGCGGACCGCGCTTCCCGAGGGCCGGGCCCGGCCCAGGCGTTACGGCCCTGCCCCCGGCCCGGGCCCGGCGCACCCGGAGTGCGGGACAGCCCGGGCCCGGGGAGCTGCCGGCGGCCTTCTGCCCTACAGCGTGCAGCGGAGCTGGAGAGGGGCTTGGAGCACAGGTCTGATGAGGAGCAGCTGGGAAAGGGGCTCAGCCTGGAGCAAAGGAGGCTCAGGGGGCCTTGTGGCTCTGCACAGCTCCTGACAGGAGGGCACAGCCGGGGAGTCGGGCTGTGCTCCAGGAACAGGGACAGGAGCAGAGGGAACGGCCTCAGGCTGGGCCAGGGCAGGCTCAGGGTGGGCACAGCAGGAATTTCCCCAGGGAAAGGGGGCTCCGGTGCTGGGAGTGCCCATCCCTGGAGGTGTCCAAGGAAGGACTGGCCGTGGCACTAAGTGCTCTGGGCTGGCGACGAGGTGGGGATAGATTGAATTTGGTGGTCTGAGAGCGCTTTTCCAATCTGTGATTCTGTGTGCTCCCAAATACTGCCCCGGCTGTGCTGTCGATTTCAGTCCCAGCTGTGTCATCTCGGAGCAGAGCCAGGGGCTGCTGCAGGAGCTGACAAAACCAGGAATAACGCTGAAACTGTGGGAACTCTGAATTTGCATCCTGCTGCTGCTTGCACGGGGAGTGGGACTGGGATGGAGTCAGCACGGATCCAGGCCGTGTCGTGCATTGTGTGGCCTCTGATAACCGGCTGCAGAGGGGTTGGGTTTGTGCTGGTCCCGAGCTCTGCAGGGCCTGAGCACAGCTGGTGCTGGTGGTGCCGGCACAGCGAGGGGCCATGGGTCTCACCGGGGGAAGCTGCTTGTCAGTGCCTGGCCAGGCTTGGGACTCCCGTGATGTACGACCGAGGCCTGTGGGAAGGATTTTAAATAGGCCCTAGGTCCGCTCACTTGCCATCATTAAGTACTGGGCTTTTGGAAGTCCTTCACGGCTTTCTTTTTCCCTTGTTACAATGGGTTTCTCTGGTGTTTGGTCAAACCCTGCTGAAAGTCTCTAGGCTGGAGCACGACTCCTGCTCCTGCACCTTCCCTGCCAGCTCCAGTCAGTGTCCAGCATTCCTTGGGCATTTGAGCTGCTCTGTGCAATGGGAGGCAGGACATCAAGGAATTGGCCGGTGGGCCCTGACAGTCACAGACTCTGTAGTGGCACTAGAGTGACAATACAGACTGGCTTGCCTGGAGGAGGGCACTGACCCTGTGTGCTCCTGGACTGCATGGTGGGACGGGGTGCTTGGGAGGGTCTGACGTATGGAGGAAGGAAAGGCAGTGGTTGTGAAGTGGGAGATAGCTTCCTCTGTTTGAAATTGAACATTTATAGTCAGTGAGTGAGAGCCCCAGTACATCACACACAGTGAATGCATCACATACAGGTTATTTCTGTGTGTGTAGGAATTGTAAAATCTGTCAATTTGTGGTTTCTTTGTTCTTAATTGCTCCATTTACCCTGGCTTTCAGTGGAGGTTGGATGTTGTTGGAGGCTATATGAGAGCAGAGCTACTTGATTGCTGCTCATTGAGGATTTTTATTTCTTTCACCTGTTGCCCTCTGCTTGGCTTTTTGCCTTTTGCTCGTTTTCTGGTTGTTTTTCTTACTTGAGATTATTTGTGGTATATATACTTCAGAATTTTTCCCTCCCTTTCCAGAGTTACTGGAAAATATACAATCACCTCTTTAAATGTTCGTAAAAAAAAAAAAATTCTTTTGAGTGTTTTAGGTTTCTGCCCCCACCTGATATCTGGCATCTGCACACTCTGAGAGGCCAAACAAGGAGCTGTAATTTAGTCACACTCTTACTCTGTTTCATACCTGAGGTGCTCCTAGTGGTTGAATAATGGGATCTAAAGCAATATCCAGTTTAAAGTGAAGTATCACTGCACGCAGTTGGGAACTTTGGTCTTTGTGGACCAGACACAGGTGAGGGAGCATGAGGAGAGAAGCTGGGTCAGTAGTTGCTCCCCTTTAGATGTTGTACCAGCATTAAAGGGTTACTGTGAAATATGGCATGGAGGTGTCCTCGAGGAGGAAACCCCAGCACAGCAGGACAGTCACTGAAGCTGTGCAGAACATGTCTGTGTGTGTATTGAATATGGACCTCTGTGACGTCTTCTGCACTCCTTTATAGCAATGTTTTAATTTTTAAACGCAGTTTCATCAGTCCTGGTGCAGTGCCTGCCCTGGCCCGTGCTGTGCTGTGCCTGTGGAGCCGCTGGAGGTGTGCTTGCCGGGCCAGGTTCAGGTTCAGCAGCAGTGGGTCTGTCTGGGCAAAGGAGAGGTGCTTTTCCCCCAGCAGAGCTCAGCAGGAGCAGAGAAGGGGGGCCTTGGCCAGGTGTGGTTGGGGGGTTCACGAGGCACTGAAGGAGTGGGCTGTGGTTGCAGAAAGCCCTTTGCAGGCTGCATGGCCCCAGTGCAGCTGTGCTGGTGCTGCATGTGAGCCCAGGGGTGTTGCAGCAGCTCCTGGGGGCTCTGCAGTGCCCGTGCCCCCGTGGTGCAGCTGCCAAGCGCACTTCTCTCTCTCACTAGATGTGATGCTGACCCCTCAGCCTTGGCCAACTATGTGGTGGCATTAGTCAAGAAGGACAAGCCCGAGAAGGAGCTGAAGGCTTTCTGTGCTGACCAGCTGGACGTGTTCCTGCAGAAAGGTGTGGTGGCCACGGCTGGCTGGGGGCTTGGGCTCTGGGTGGCAGAAGGGAGGGAGGCACCACTGCTGCCTTCAAAATCTTTCTTGGTAGCCATAAATATTCCATACAGAGTTTGAAGGAATTGTATGATTAAAAAAATAGTAATCATAAGATGAAGTCATGCAGCTTGGACTTTTAACAGTGGGTAGGAAGAGATGTTCTTAAATAAAAGCAATTTAATTTAAGGTGTCAGTCATGTTGCCAGAAGTTTCTCTGACAGGTGTTTGATAACTTTTGAAAACCTGGTCCATGTTACTCCTCCAGACTGCTAGGACCTTCACATGTGGCAATTAGCTTCGTAGTCAAGGTTTTAAACACCTGAAAGTCTGACACTCACTGGGAAGGTTCTTGTGCATTTCTTGTGATGTTGCACTGCTGCTGAGTGTAGCTGATGGAACTTGTGGATAGCTGTGGACTTGCTCCTTGATCACAGGCACCAATCGTGCTTGCCCCTTAGAACAGGAGAGTCTGTTGCTGTCTGTGATATAACTGAGGAATTTCTTTCTCTAAATGAACAGCCTCAAGTCCACAAATGTAATTCCAGCTCCTTCAGTGGAGCTAATGCTCATTAATCTGAGGTGCTGCTGCTGCAAGCAGCCCACCTGGCTGACTGTTTTCAGAGTCTTCTCTGGTAAACGTAAGCATGCACTTAAATGCATATGTAACAGTATTTTCTTGTGTTCTTTATCCTCAGAAACTTCAGGGTTTGTAGATAAACTCTTTGAAAGTCTGTACACCAAAAGTTACCTTCCTTCTGCTGAGCCCACAAAGGCAGAGGCAAAGCCTGCAGGGCAGGAGAAAGAAGAAGTCAAGGAGGAGGTAATGTTATTTATTCTGCATGCCTTTTATTTTCAAATAGCTGTCCTACATTTGTGAGGCAAAATGTGACAGAAAAATGTACTCCATTGTGAATAATGATCTCTGTGTCCAAAGAACCGTGGAAGATGACTATTCAGACAAGAACATTTTATATCCCTTTGTAGAGCCTACCTTTGATTAAGCACTCAGAAATCCTGTTCACAGCTCTGGTAATACCAGTGGATGATTACTTGGAAGGGTTTGAGAGGGGGAAGCTACAAAAACATTCCAAAACATTTCCAATTTTGTATATTCTGTGAGGAATGAAAATTACTTTAAAATGTTTTCTGTGATGCTTAAAATCACTGAAAGATGTCAGCCTCTGTATTGTAATAATTACTTTGGAAAGTCAGGTAGGATTGGTTTGCGAAGAGTTTTACCTTGATTTTAAGTTCTGTTGGCAAAATTGAAAGCAATCAAATTTTCAGAGAAGGTGACAAATAATTGCAGAAATTGTCAGTCAGCAAAACACAGGTCAGCCCACACAAATGCAGGTTCATATTTACTTGACTGTGGTTCATCAACTGATTTAGATGAAAGTTGCTTTATACTTTTTTTTTCCTTTTCTCTGATGTCCTTTTTTACCCAAGGATGTGATGCAGAGTTATGACAACTTATGGAAGTAGTTTTGCTTATGGCAGTTCATAATTTGAACAAGACTTTCACTGTAAGAACTTTCCCCTCTGTTCTCAAAGTGCTGCCGTAGTTTATAGAAGGTCCCATAGAACTACCTTCAGTTGACTTTACCAGTGCTCTGGTGGGGGCAGAGGAGGAGGTTTGAGGGGCTGGAGGGGAGTGGCAATAAGCAAAAGAAGATATCTAGGACAGCTTTATGGGACAACGTTACAGAATTCAGGACATTAATTAGTTACTTTGACATCAGCAAGGCCTTTGTGATGTGTTATGAAGCTCAGTGTATGGTGTGATTCCTGCACACAGAGGCCACAAAATAAACCACACATGGAATGTCAGTGAGGTCAGGGCTGGAGGGGACCCCAGGTGCTGTGTGATACCCCTTGTGCTGGGAGCAGGACTGCAGGTGGAGCTCTCCAGAGCCCTGTCAAGCCAAGTCTTGAGTATTTCTGCCAGTTCTCCCCAGATAATCCTGTTTTGGAAGGATGCAGATAGCCTTCCTTTTGGTTTCAATTGGTAAGAAAAGTCTTTTAAAAATTAGTGCATGTAAGCTTTTCCACCAAAATTTACAGTAACTTGTAAGCAGTGTGAAATGGCAGCAGAAATGCTCAGTAGGTCGGTGGTTTGCAGTAATGGTGCAGCTGGCAGACTTCTGAACCTGCTGTAGTGGAGGTGAGCAAGAAGTGTGACCAGTTCCACTATGGGAGCGGGTTTTTGCCCTGAAGCAGTTATTTAAAATGTCAGCTAGTGACTTCTCTACCTGGAGAGGTTACTGCAGACTTTGTGTTTAAAGCTTCAGGAAATACCTCACTTGTAGAATTGCTTATGCTAAATAAGGAAGTAGAGTGGAGAGAGATCTTGTCCTTCATGAATCCTGTTTAGAAACAAAACATCAAAGTGGTTTTATTTAGGGGCATCTCTTCTGCAGAAAAAAAAAAGCAAATTTTGAGACCAAACCTCTTCAACAGACTCTAGTGCTTGATTACTTGTAGTGCTTCAGTACTCTGGGCAAGTAATACTTGAGTATTGTTTCCTTTGCGTTGCTGTCTGTAACTTGAACTACATTTTGGTGTAATTTCCTTAATTTAAAAAAGTGATACTCGTCCTTGTTTGGTAGTTGTGTGTTAAACAGAATTTTCAAGAGTCTGTTGAAGAAGAGCGGGAGAGCAGGAAGAAGAAGTATTCCAGTCCCCAGAGGAGCCGTACAGATTCCAGTGAGCAAAGGTTAGCTTTGAGCCACAACGTTAAGAAATTTTTCTGTATTTGCTGTCAATCTTTGACTGTTTTTTATCTTGTAGGTAGTGATTTTTGTGAAAAATAGGGATTTTCTCCTTCCTTTGACTGTGATGCATCGTGCATATGCTGATCACATGCATGAGAAGTCTCCACAAGAAGTTTGCCTCTTGCACAAGAGGCCAAATATTCTTCAAATTACAATTCCTAGGAGTGTCATCAGTTCCATTGTTGCCCTTGTTATATAAATGAACAACGTTTTTGGGGTCTGTAGTTTCTGGGGGCAGTTGTTCACACCGTGTCAGCGTCACTTCTAAAGCCTGTTCTGGTTTGAGCATCACAACTATCTCACCTTGCCAGTTCCTACCCCTGCTTTCTACAGACCAGTGAATCAGCTTTAAGATTCAGTAGTTCTCTGTGTAATTTGTGACATTCTGACTGGAGTGTTTCGCTGCCCAAATGGATGGGAAGGGTGAACAGTATCTCTCCATGTTGCAAGCTCCTTTTTTTATTTTGTTTCTCTTTTCATTGACACGGTCTACATCTGTTTTTCCTAGAACCAGAGAGAAAAAGCGGGACGATGGGAAGTGGAGGGACTATGACAGGTACTATGATAGGAGTGACTTGTACAGGGAGAAGTCTGGCTGGCGCCGGGGCAGGAGCAAGAGCCGCAGCAAGAGCAGAGGGCTGAGCCGGAGCCGCAGCCGCAGCCGGGGCCGCAGCAAGGACCGGGATGGCAGCAGGAGCGGTGAGTGCCCAGGGTGCTGCTCCAGCGCAGCATCCTGCTGCAGTGGCAGCTGGCACTTGTGCGTTCTGCATGAGCTAGCGGGCAGGAGATGCCCTTGAGAAGTTGGAGGAAATTCTGATAGCTTTGTGTTCTTGAAATTATTAATTAAGATGCTGTTCTTCAGAGTAGAACAATTAAGGGGTTTGTTTTCTTCTTTGCTAACCTCTTAATTTATCTACAGGTGTATTCTTGTAGATAGCAGTAGCTCATATTTTTGTGCTGTGTGTTCTGACAAAGCTGTTGATTTTATTCTTTGTTCCTCTTAAGGACTGAACTTTTTGCAAAGCAGTGTTTCCCTTTTTCGTTTTGTTACTGTGTATTTTTTAGAGAAGGCTTCTTTGCAGTTGCAGGTGGTTACCATATGATTGTTCTTTTAGGGCTAGTTCAGGTCTGTCGGAAAAGTAAGTGGCACAGATTACAGCATTCCACGCACCTTGAGACCGCGTTAGTTAAGGGCAGAGGTAGGTTTGTTGTTTCAGGCTTTTGCCCTTCTTTCTCCTTTAAAAGAGAGCTGTAAGTCAGAGTGAAATAAGTAGTAGAGGAATGAATGTGCATTTTGCAAAGAAAACTTGGATATTTCTGAAGTTAAACCCCTGTTTACATTATATTTAGTTATTACTCCATTGGTAAGACCAAGCTCCTTCTAGAACAGTTCAATGTGCAGAGTGCTGAGTATTTCAGAGAAGGTGTTATTGTCTCTTACTCATGGCTCTGATGTACAGAGCAAAACATGAAGGCTTTACTCAGCTTTATTTTTTTTTAAACAGAGCACCGAGAGAGAGAGAGATCAAAATACAAGAGTGAAAAAAATGATGTTGAAAGCTCATATAATCCGGTGTCCGCGACTCCCAGTAAATCCTCTGAACAGTATTCGTCTGCACAAGCTATTCCCAGTGCTGTAACTGTAGTTGCACCTGCGCACCACCTTGAAGGCACCACGGAGAGCTGGTCAAATTACTTCAACAATCACAGTAATCCCAGTTCATTTGGCAGAAACCCTCCTCCTAAAAGAAGATGTCAAGACTATGACGGTAAGGCAGTTTCATGCCTTATTTCAATGTTTATGTGACTTTTGTTTTTAGGTATTCACCGAATGTGAGCAGCAAGTCATGCTGCAGCAGCATGTGATGTGTACCTTGTATGTAACAGATGCAGAGATGCCCTTTGTTGTACTGGAGAAATAACTAATCTTACCGCAAGCGGTTTGCGTATGCTGTGGCAGTTGCTGGGTAGGAACATATGGAGTTGTTTCACAGTTCTCTATGTGCTAGACAAATACCTCAACCACTGGCAGTCCTGGTGCAGATTGCAGTGTGTGTATGTTTAAAATAAACCACAGTACTTCTGACTTTTTTTCCATGGCTTTTATGATGAATGCATGTAAGTTTGTATGCTTTTATGAAAGATTGTTCTAATTTCAATTATTTAGTGAAACCTTACCTTACAATATAATAATGTATCAGTGGATGCATGTTTTCTTTAGTAAGAAATTCCATGAAAACCTGAAATGTTACAAACTATGAGAACGACAGCGTGTGTTTTCTAACACGAGTTGAAACGTCGTGTTTTGCAGAGCGAGGCTATTGCGTCCTGGGCGATCTCTGCCAGTTTGATCACGGAAACGATCCTTTGGTGGTAGATGAAGTCTCCTTGCCCAGCATGATCCCGTTCCCGCCGCCGCCGCCGGGGCTGCCGCCGCCGCCGGGACTGCTGCTGCCGCCGCTGCCGGGGCCGGTGCGCGGGCTGCGCCTGCCGGTGCCGCAGCCGCACCCGCAGCCCCCGCCGCCCGTCGTGCTGCCCGTCCCGCGTGAGTCAGGGCGGGGATCCGCTGCGGCTCCTCGGCTGGCAGCGTGCTGTCCAGAGCAATGCCCAAAAAATTCTGAATATTCAGCTGGCCAAACCATGATGTTCCAAGCCCTGCAAACTGAACTAAATTGCACAGAGGAGTGGAGCTGGGGATCTTTCAGCTCACCTCAGTGGTAGTTGGTGGTGATTGGATTGGTCACTGACACTCACTAGCCAGGTTTTTCCCTGCTGTAATGCAAGAAATGTTGTGATTCAGTTTCCTAGAGGTTCTAATAAAGATCTAGTGTTGGTGCTACATTATCTACCACTAGAAGGCAATATATTATTGACACATTTAAGAGCTTTCTTAGCTCAGCAGTGATCTGAGATGTTGAGCCTTTTGTGTTACCCTACTGCATCTTATGAACTCTTTGAAGAAATAGCATATTAGGGGCACGCTTACTCTGTTTCAGTGTCTATTCCAGGGACAAAATAAACGCTGTGATAATTGTGTCCAACAGGAGCAATTTTGGGATGAGGAATAATTTGATACAGGATTAACCCTAAACTTTGCATGAAGCCTTTAGCAGGCAGAAGTGACTTGCTGTGAGAGAACAGACAGTGCTCAGGATGGGCTGTGTGGTGTCACTTGCGGTCCTTTTTGATCATGCAGTCAGTAACATTGTCTGTATGGTACTGGGGAAACCAAAGCACAACCAGCTAGAGAAATTCCTTGTCTGGGAATGCCTCTTGCCCTGCAGTTCTTATTTCAGAGCTGTGGTGTGAATGCTGGTGAAACGATCTCTTGCTCTGAGCAAGCCCTGTCTCTCCATGGTAGAGCTGAGGGAGGAGCTGCTCTGGTTAAGGCATCTCTAGCACTAACAAACCACTGGGGAAGAAAAGACACTTCTTTCTTTTCCCTTAAAGCTTTGTCTCTCCTGAGAAAGAGAAAAGGTGTTGGAATCAGAGTAGCTTACCTGAACAGGCTTCTTGATTTACTGTTGCTGTAGTGGAACTGGACGTGTTTGCCACCCTGACCTTGCTCAAAGCAAGGCATAAACACAGCACTGAATTGTTGGCACGCTGTGCCTTTGAGCTGTCAGCGTGTGATGTGTTGCTGCTGTTGTTGCAGGCCCACCTTTAACGCAGTCCAGCCTGATCAACAGTCGTGACCAGCCGGGGACAAGCGCAGTGCCCAGCCTTGCGCCCGTGGGAGCGAGGCTGCCTCCTCCTCTGCCTCAGAACCTGCTCTATACAGTGTCAGAACGTAAGCAAATGCCTTTGCTTTCAGTCTGTTTGATGGAAACATTTTGCGTTTTCTCTGTTGATGTGTGATTAGGGGTTATGGTCTGTCTTCCTCCAATTTATACAAATCTAAAAAGAAGTCTGATGGCTCTCCCTGGCTCAGCCCATCATCCATTCTGGGATGGAGTGGCAGCAGTGCCCTGGTCTGAGGAGGAGCACTGTGGAGAGCTCTGGGTTTCATGTGCTTGCAGCAATCCAATTGTTGTATAAGAAATGTTCATCTTCAAGCCATTCAGTAGTATATTAGTAGGTGAAACATGGATCTGCAAACCTGTAATTGCTGTTTAACTTAGGTTTTATTCCTCTCCACTTTGGACTAATACAGATGAGAGCTTTTTTTCCAGCTATATGTCACAATAGTCTGTACAGTCTTCATAGACATCAGTGCTTTTTCTGTTCTTTTTCCAGAATCACCCCGATTCTAGCTTTCTAAAGGCTGTTAGCTTTCACTGGACACGTCCCTCTTCCTTAACTGAGCTCAAAATTTTTAAAAGTATCTTTTCACAAGGGAAAAATATAGCAAAATACCTGAAAAGTCCTAGATTGCTCAATTTAAATGCAACAAAATTAATTTCTTTGATAATTAAAGGATTAATGTCATTCCCATATTCTCTATGACCAAAATAGATAATTAAATGTTATGTTTTATAATATTCTCATCTGGGGTTTTTTAGCATAAATATTCTGAATTTTATTCAAAGAGAGGGTATAGTTCAGTTCATGATCCATGTCATTTTATTTGTAACTTCTGTGCTTTTCAGAACTTGAGACACTCAGATTTCTTATTAGATAACCTGTTCAGTTATCCCCAAGTCCTGCTGAGTGTTCAGGTGTCACCATCTGATCCTTTCAGCTCCAGAACTTCTAATGGCTGATTCTGCCTGTGGGAGCTCACAGGGCTTCACAGTAATTCTGTTCTCCAGAACCTCTGTGGAGATTCTCATGTCCTGTTCTCGGGCTGTTGTGGTAACAGCTGCTGGTTGCCCTCTTGCAGTCAATCATGTTCTAAATAAGGGAAGAGGAGCTTGTAGTTCTGCTCCTTCAAGGTTAGAGAAAGTTCTTGTTTTACAGTGTCAGGCACTGCTCTCAATGTGGATATTGTGGGGCATCTGATTTTAACTGTACAGTTGTCTTTGTTGCTGCAGAATAAGGAGCTGAGATTTTTGAGGCATTCATGTTTATCAGGTTCCCTTGTGCAGGCGTTTGTTCTGTTCCTGTGGAGGCTCTTCACAGCCTTCATTCATTCCAGTTCTTGTACAGCTTTTCCTTTTTAAGGTTAAAAAATGTGTTATCCTCAATTTGGACCTTGGGCTGGAGGAAAAATAGGAGTCAATTGTCATCTTGTATTCTTGTGGTGACCACTTCTAATGGAAATAATCATTAGTGCTTTACCTGAGCTAGGCAGGTGATCTCACTCTTGCATAAAGAAAGTTCAGTAGGTAAGTATTGGTTCCATTGCCTCATTTCTCAGCTTTCTTTGAAATCATTTAACTATGTTCTTCACCTAAAATTCTTTTCTGAAGAGACCCAGACTGTTGGGCAGCAAAGGCTGAAAATTTCTTTGCATCTTAGACTCTACAGTATAAATGCTGAAGCCAAAACACTGCCAGACATTGTGCATGCTGTCACACAGACACCTCAGGCTTTCCAGGCAGTGGATCAGCAGTGCTCTGTATTGTGACCTGTGTGCTTTGGACAAGCAGTACCAGAATAAAAACCAAAAGAGAATGTGTTTAGATAGGCTAGGCCTGGAATCCAGGTGAGGGTTTGCAATGGCTGCACAGGTTGGCTGTACCACCTCTTCTCTTCATCCAAGGCAGCCTCTGACTCTTGGACATCTGTGCACTTCCTTGAAGGAAAACTAACCCCGAGTCTTAAACTCACTTGAAAAATTCTGTCGTTTCTCTCCTTTTTTTGTAGATACATATGAGCCAGATGGCTATAACCCTGAAGCTCCTAGTATTACCAGTGCTGGTAGATCTCAGTATCGGCAGTTCTTTACAAGAGCACAAATGCAGCGTCCAAATCTAATTGGCCTAACATCTGGGGAGATGGATACAAACCCTCGAGGTAGGAAGGGTTCTGGTCATTGCTGTTGCTATTTTTGTCCAAGACCATCAACACTTTTCCCTCTTTTCAGGATGAAAGCATTAGTTTTTCTCACTGATCTAGTGTTTCAGAGCTTTTTTTTTTTGACATTTCTGCCTTTTTTAAGTGCTAACATGCCCATATTAAAGTCAAAGCAGCCTTTTTGATTAAAAATAACCACTTGCTTGGGAATGATACAAGGGTTTTGTTGGTTGGTTGGGGTTTTATTCCTCTTAAACCTGTGAAGGTATTTTCCAGGTACTGGTAGCTCCTAGAAAGAAAAATGGTGCCTAAAAGTGGATTTAGCAGCACAGTCTGCAGACTGCTTTTGATCAGCCGAGGGCACAGAGGTGATGATCCAAGCTCCTTGCCTTGGCTGTTGTGATGGTAGTGAAGAAGGGAGCTGCCATGGCAAGTTTTGGTGCTTCATGCTCTGACTCTGTCAGCCAGGTGTTCTCTCTGAAATGAACATCGCAGGTATCATTCCAATTCCCCAGCTCCTGGGAATCCCAGTCTGTACTTACATAATTCCTAGCCCCTGCCTGAATGGATGTGGCTGCTCTCTCTTAATGGTGATGTGCACACACCATCTTTTAGGGAAGGGCACAGGTCAAGGCTCTTCAAAGTTTAGTTGTAGTAGCAAAACTTCCTTTCTCCCTTGTGTTTTCCTGCCCTGACTCTTAAAACCATAGATGTTAAGTTTTGGGTTTTATTGTTCTACTTCAGTATTTCTTACTCGGTAGATAACAAAGATTTTTTTCCCAAGTATTTCCTTCCATGATTCATCTTTTAAGGAATATGGCTAAATATTATTGTAGAAATTGCTGTTGCTGTTTGCGTCTGAATGACTGTCACAGAGGCAGGGTTGGGGCTTCATTGAGAGCCCATCCCAGGGGTAAGGCAGGGATGAGTGCTCAGTGGTAGGGCCTCACTCAACATGTTTTACTGTCTTTATCACAGGTGTGAAAGGTTTGCTCTCAGATCATCCTCCAAAGTGAGGATGCCATGCCCAAAATGCCCAGTCTCTGTTCTCACCAGTGTAACCAGAAGTTGCTGTGTAGCTCAGACTTCATTTTAGGGGTTGAATATTTGGCATTCACAGGAGACTAACACAAAGGGCATAATCTTGAAAAGGTTGCAAATAGATTTCTAGCCAACTTTGTGTTGGTAGAATTTGCTTCAAACTTACAATCTAATGCCTTAAAAGAGTGTAATAGTTATGCTTGGTTAACAGTTTGTTCCCGAAACCTGGCTGGAGGGCTGGCAGTGGGATAGCAGTGGAAAGAATGGGTTCTTGGTTGCTTTTGCTCTGTCAAGGGTTCCTACAGGGCAAGCTGGTTATTAATTCAGCCCCTTCCCATTGCAGAGCTCTGACTTAAAGTCTGGGGATCCACCCATGGGTTCTTTTCCTCCTTTTCAGTTTTGTTGGGATTTGGGGTTTTCTTTTTTCTTTCTCTCCCTTTCCTGCAGAATCTGAGCTTTTAATACCTGAAAAATGAAATTTTAGCTTTGTTTCTTCAAGCTAGTACCAACCTTAAAGGTCAAAACCCATCCCTCCCAGCTGGACCATGTGTGTTTCTCTCAGGATGTTTAGTTAAGCTAGGAAATGATCTGAAGGATTTTGTTCAGAAACAAAACTGACCAATTTGATAAAGTCATCCTGATGTTTATGTTTTTTAATCTCAGTTTTGTTTTGCTGTGTGAAAGCTTTTCCATGTGTGGTGGAATAACACAGGCCTTTTTCCTTCCCTCCAGCTGCCAACATTATCATCCAAACTGAACCTCCCATTCCCATTACAAATAACAGCAGCAATGTCACTAGAGTTGTCCTGGAACCAGACAGCAGGAAGAGATCTCCAAGCAGCATGGAGTGTCCACCATTGAAGAAACCCTGGTTGGGAAAGTAAGAGTTAGCTACACATGTTAATTTAAATGTACTAGATTGCTGTCAGTACTGTGAACATTGCTACTCACCAGTCTCTGTCTTTTGGGATGGTTGGGTCACAAAGTCTGTGTCCCCATAAGATGGAGACTGAACATGGGGTCAGTGGAAGCTCTCGTTTGTTAGTGGCTAGAGGGTGTACTCTTTAGAGGAAAAATGCCATTTAGATGTACGCTAACATTTGCTGCCTTAATTAGGCACTTTTGTACTTATCTGAACTCTTCCTGTTCTCCTTTTCTCTAGGCAAGTGAATAACAATCAGAATAAGCCAGGATTTTTGAAGAAGAATCAGTATACTAATACAAAATTAGAAGTTCGAAAAATTCCACCAGAATTGAACAATATTACACAGCTCAATGAACACTTCAGCAAATTTGGAACTATTGTAAACATTCAGGTAAAAAACCAGTCACTTTTATGTCTGTGTCTGGGTATTTTATTTTCCTTGAAGCCTGTTTGAATACTGCATAGTTTCTTTGAGAAATCTACGTGGAGACAAGTTGGGAGAGGAGGTAATCAAGTTCAGAGAAACCTTTTCTTGGTCTGCTGTGTATTATTATCTTAATACTGTAAAACATATTGGTTTTAGCCTTCATGATGACTAAGTACATTTGAAAGGCTGGCAGATTTAACAGTGTCTAAACCAACTCAGGTTTTTGAGCAACTTGTGTATAACTTTTGAAGGAGATGATCTGACAGTGTCTTATATGACAGTCATTCATCTATGTATTTGAATGTGTATAGACTTTACTGCAAGTACATGTAAAGTTTGCCAAAAACTACTTTGCTTTAAATACATAGTGTCTTACCAGAGTTTGGAGCTGTTAATACAGTGGATACTCAACTCATCATTGCACATTATTTGTAGATGGATTTGCTGATGATTGAAACGTTTGCTTCCTTGAGAAATAACGCATTTGTGACCTTTTGCTTTAGGTGGCTTTCCAGAACGATCCCGAAGCCGCTCTCATTCAGTACCTGACCAACGACGAGGCGAGGAAGGCCATTTCCAGCACGGAGGCGGTGCTGAGCAATCGCTTCATCCGGGTGCTGTGGCACAGGGAGAGCGAGCAGCAGCCCCCGGCGCTGCAGCAGCCGCAGGCGCCGCCCGCCCCGCAGGCGCTGCAGCACCTGCAGCAGCAGCAGGCGCTGGCCGCGCCGCCCGCCGTCACCGCGCACGGCAGCCTGGCCAAGGTGCGTGCTGCCCGGCGCCCGGCAGCCTTCCCAAGGCTGCTGTGTCCGAGCCTGATGTTTTCATGTCTGTGCGTACGCAGGTGATGAACAAACCCCTGGCATCCGGTGCCTACGTCCTTAACAAAGTCCCGGTGAAAAGGCGCCTTGGAGCAGCGGGTGGGAGCCAGCCTGAGCTCAGCCAGCCCGGGGCTGGCGTGGAGGAGTCTCAGGTATGTTCAGAGCGGACCGTGGTCGTGCTCTCAGGTACGGCTGTAGCTTGTCAGCCAGGAAGGAACAAGCAGAGAGAACTTGTGTGTTGTTCTGTTCCTTTTCAGTAATGTTTTGTGCAGCCATGGTCAGTCACTTCTTCCTCGTTTCATCAACTGTTTGTATGGAATAGGGACAATGACTTTAGGAACTATCAACTACAACACTACCAGTATTGTAAATAGCATAAAATATTATTAGCAGTGCTTGATAGTAAACAAGTCTGAGAACCTGTGAGACCAGCCTTTTGTTGACAAATCTAATGGCTCTCCCAGTAATTTTTGAGCTTTCACTGTGCCTTAACAGCAGTGCTAGAAGCTTAGAGAGTATTTGTACCCAGAGTTCAAACCAATTAGTGTTCACTTCACACTGATACCATAGTGCAGCATGTGTTTTGGGCCGTGGGGAAGTCCTTTTAAGAAAGGAAGTATGGAGTGGCTTTTGCTGCCTTACTTGATCGGAAAGGGGGATGTTGGGCTGCGCCTGTGGAGCTGAAACTGAGGCATGGGCTGCTCATCACCTTCAGTGGTGTCCTGGTGGGAATCGGGATGCAAAAGGAGTCTGCCATGGAGCAAGAAAGGATTTCTTTTTCAGAAATCCGTTTAACTGGACTGCTATCTTTATTCATGTGTTTTATTTGCCTTGGTCTTTCTGCCTCCTTGCACAAATCTGAACATCTGAGTTGAGGTTGCAGGGAATATGATCATCTGAAGTTCCCTGCTGGTATATCATGGTCACTTTGAAATATTCCATATTTTACTTGGTGTTTTTTACTGTTTCAGATATTTCCTACTTCTACAAGCCACTCAAAAATGGTTTACAGTTCTCCAAACTTGAAGACAACTCTGAAGTCTGGTGCAGGATCTAAGCCTCATGACGTGCAAGAAGCCCTTAAAAAAAAACAGGTACTTAATGCTTGATGGCTGCCTGACAGGGTAAGGAGCAAAGTGCTTTGAATGCAAGGTTTGATGGGCACCTGAAACCTCAACCAGTCCTCAACAGCTTTATATGTGGGTTATGGGGTGGTCTTGCAAACACACCTGGGGTAATCATCTGTGGAGTGTCCTTTTGGGTTGTCTTACTTGATGCTCTTGGCCATGCTGGGTTTTCTGAGTTTGCTTGGGTTTTCTGGATTTAATCTCTGCAGGTGTGAGACACTTGCAGGACAGTGCACACAGAATGTTTCTTAAGAGGTGTCTGAAAGGGGAAAATGTTACTAAAGTACCTTGCAGCAGGAAATTAGGATGTTATTTATTTTTTATTTATTGAATCAGCTGCACTTCATGCTTGTGCTTTTTGCAGACAGTACTTTTGGTTGTGGATTTCACTTCCATAGTTTGAAGGGGACAATATGATCCCTTTGAGTACATACATGAACTCTATGAGTGCATACAATGCTAGACTGCTTTTTACTGATGGAAAGAGTTTTCTCCTTTTATAGGAGGCAATGAAACTCCAGCAAGATATGAGGAAAAAGAAGCAGGAGATGTTAGAAAAACAAATAGAATGCCAGAAGGTAAGTCTGGAATGTGGCTAGTAAATACATCCTGATTTTGTACATACCTGTCTGTTGAGGGCTGTTTTTCCTGGAATTTTATGTTCCTGTTCTTTTATTATTGTATAGATGTTGATATCCAAGCTGGAGAAAAACAAGGCCATGAAACCAGAAGAGAGAGCAGAAATTATGAAGACTTTAAAAGAACTAACAGGAAAAATATCTCAGTTAAAGGATGAATTGAAAACTTCATCTACAGCCTCCACACCATCTAAATTGAAGTCCAAAACAGAGGTATTTCTTGTGCGACACACTTGCCTCCTTGGTTTTTGTAACTATTTCTATTAATGTGTCTTAAAAATGCAACAGCATTAGATCAAAACACTTGCAAGCAGCATTTTAATGTGAGTGATAACCATGGACAAACATGCCATGGTTGAAGGAACTCCCACGACCTAGTTTTGCTTGTAGCTCATTCATGTTTGTTCTAGTTCTAAATCAAAGAATTCTGGGTCCTTCAAAAAATGGGGGGCACCACACACACACAGAGGCAATTAAAACAAAACTGAATTTAGAGACAAGTATGGCTATTGTGTCCTGATCTGTCTGTGTCATTTGCATGAATGTGCTGCTGAAGTGGAATAAAACGTTACAACTGTGCCTTACAGTTCTGCCCTTTCCTTCTGTTTTCTGTTCCCACCTCTTTCTGCCAGGCACAGAAGGAACTGTTGGATGCAGAGCTGGACTTCCATAAGAGACTGTCCTCCGGAGAGGACACGACCGAGCTGCGCAAAAAGCTCAATCAGCTACAAGTGGAGGTGAGCCGCTCTGGCCGCTGCTGTCAGTGAGTGTGTGTGTGCTGGGTGCGTCAGCTGCTCTCACCGGGGCTCTGTTCCTCCCCCAGGCTGCCCGCTTAGGCATCCTGCCCGCCGGCCGAGGGAAGGCGGCGGCAGCCCCGGGCCGGGGCCGGGGCCGGGGCCGTGGGGGCCGAGGCCGGGGCGTGCTGAACCACATGGTGGTGGATCACCGGCCCAAGGCCCTCACCGTGGGAGGCTTCGTGGAGGAGGAGAAGGATGAATTGTTACAGCACTTCTCTGTAAGTGTGGCCAGTAAATTAATGCACCTTTCCTTTACTGCTGTAAAAGCAAGCTTGTCTTAGAATAGCGATAAATCTGAGCTTTTGCCCAAAAATACAACTGCTACAATAGTGATGGCCGATGCAGCTGGGAGTCCTCTGGCTCTCACTTTTCTGTCCAAAAACTCAGATTTCAGTAACTACAATTGTACCATGATTATGGAAGTGGAGGAGAACGTTACTGCTGGTCCTAATGAACTTTTCCTCACAGAAATTTGGAGATATCGAAGATCTTCAGGAAGAGGATTCCCCATTAAGTGTTGTTGTAACTTTTAAGTCCCGCTCAGAAGCTGAGAATGTAAGTAGAATCATGAATATATTTTTTTCACATATCTAAAATAAGAGTTTTTAACTACTTTTGTCTACCTTTGTATTTTAAAATGTCAGAGGCTTTGATCCCCCAGTTTGAGCTTGATAGTGCTTGGTGCTGCTGCAGGTAGTGCTGCTGAAAGGGAAGTACCTCCTGGTGGTCTGAGCAGCGACACAGGGCTTTCCCTGACAAAGCTGCCTGTCCCTGGCAGTTCAGGGCTCTGCTCATCCTCTCACTGCCGGGGCAGGAGCAGGATTTGGCAGATTTGGGTGTGGCTGAAGTTACTCTTGGAACACTGAAGTGGATGATTGTGATTTATATATTTGAGATCTTCAAACGTGCCTCTGTGCCACATGCTGTGGGTCTGGCTGTTGCTGATGTTAGAAGTTCTTTGCTTGGTCCGTCCTCTGAGAATCTGTGTGTTTGAACTCGACTCAGGCTGCTAACCAGGGATCCCGCTTCAAGGACCGGCGGCTCCAGATCTCGTGGCACAAACCCAAGGTACCCTCTGTGTCCACAGAAGTCGAGGAAGAGGAGCCCAAGGAAGAGGTATGGAAATCTCTTAATAACCTGGTCATTCTTGCTGGAACCTACTAGCTGAGAGCTCTTAGCATACAGTTTCCTGTGTGCTGAAGAAACTTTGTAAAAGATGTTTGTACAAACCAGGAACTGAACGGGTTTTGAATAGTCAGGTACACTTCCCACATTTTAAAACAGAGAAAATGGGGAGAAGAAAAGACACTTTGTGGATGGGCTGTTAATTTGTCAGTGATGCAGACAAGCCTCAGGTTCTGTATGTGCAGGCTGCAGAGCCTTTTACATCTTACTCTTCATGCTCTACTCTAGGAGATGCTGTGTGTTCTTCCCAGTAATTCACCTTAACACCTTAAGCTTTTAAAGGTTATTTTGTTGTTTGGGAGAGGGTGAGAGGTGGTTTATTCCTGCTTCCTCCGAAGCTTTGCTCTCTTTCCTGACACAAGGCTGCTGTTCTTCCCCTAAACTGTTTGGATGTAACTGTGTGAGTTTGATAGAGACGCGCTGACACCCGCACCACGCACCAGTGCAGCTGTGAGCTGGGGTGCGTCCCTGGGCAGAGCTTGCAACTTGTGTCTGAAGGTTCATTTTTTTCTTCCTCCAGGAGACTGAAACCTCAGATTTATTTTTGCACGAAGATGATGATGATGATGATGAAGATGAGGATGAATCCCGTTCTTGGAGAAGATGAAACTTGATGTTCGAAATGTATAATTTTAGGAATATAGTTCAAACTACATCTTTTAAACGTTTATTTAAGGAAGTTGATGAGCCAAAAAGAGCTTTACTTTCTTTTCAAACCACAAAATTTACCATGAGCAGTTTGGTATGAAAACATTTGGGACACAGAGCTGTGAGACTGAGCTAGCCAAAGGCCCAGGAACTTCTTACAGGATTATCAAGCTCACCAGGGTGGTGATTTTTTTCTATTTAAGAAGGATAAAAAGGGGGGAGGGGGTTGGAAATCAGTATTTTCTTTTCCTCTTTTTGTGTCACCTGTATTACCTTGTTTTGGGTTTTTTATAATGTGATTGGTTTGTTAGTTTATAATTGAAAAGATATTACAGGTTTTATTTAGCAATATTACGAGGTTAGGGGAAAGACAAACTTTCATTAAATATTATGAAAGAAAAACTGGCCTCATTTGCTCGTTGAAAAAAGGGAGCATTTTATTTCCTGTGGAGTCTCATGTTGTATGAGAATTATTTGTGGTTAGATTCTTAAATCATTTACTTCAGTATGTGTGACAGCCACGCTATCTCTTTGTTGTGCTGCTTTTTGTGAGAGGAGGTGGAAGAAACAATTTAACAGGATATTGTTATAACATTGTCCGGTTCACTCTGTTTCTCCAAATTCTGCTTCGCAGAAAACATCAGCGGGAGCACACACTGGAGTGGATTTTCACTCCTTCTTGATTTCCTTCTGTCATTTCAGTGTAAGGCTCAGTGTAGGTCAGGCTGTTTATTGCATTTCAGTATTTGTGAGCGAGAATGGAAGGAGTTCCAGTCTTCCTCAAAAGCAGCTGCACTGGCCCCTGTCTCCCAGCCAGGAGCAACTCTCCTCTGGCTGTTCCCAGCTGTGTTCCAGGCAGAGCCCTGGGCTTCAGAGCAGGGTGGGTGAGAGCAGGGTGGGGTTCAGCCCACAGCACTGGGGTGTGCTGCTTAGCCAGCCCCACAGCAGGGTCCGGTGTCCCAGGGCTGCTCAGAGCTGGCCGTGCTGTGGGTGTCCCTGTGTCCCCTGTCAGTGTCTCTGTGCTGTCCCAGGACTGCTCAGAGCTGCCTGTGCGCTGGGTGTCCCTGTCCCCTCTCGGTGCCTCTGTGCTGTCCCTGTCACCCAGCAGGGTGTGTGCTGCCTCTGGGGCTGGGCTGCCTCTGGGCTCTGTGCCTTGTGGCTGGGGCACCCAGCAGCACCTGCCCTGACTGCCCCCTCGCCCTGGCCGCTCCTCGACCCCTCTTTTGTGCATTTCCACACAAAACCAGCACCGTGGCCGTGCACAGCGCTCCTGTCTCTTGAATGGCTGCCAGCGTAGGCCCCGTAACTCCTGGCTGAGGGACAGCATCTCCCAAACCCTCTGCCTGCCCGTGGCTCTGAGTGTGGCCAGGGCAGGTGTGAGCACCCTTCGGGCTCAGCCCTGCTGACTCTGTCCTTGTGGTGAGGTGAGGTGTCCAACTTGTGTCATGTCCTGTTTCTTGTCAACTGAAGGGGATGTCTCCAGTGTTCTGTCTCTTTCCAAACCTCTCCTCTTCCTAGAATTAGGAGTGTCCTGCTAAGGCTGAGACTAAATTCCAGGCGTGAAGAATTGGAGGAGAAACCCACCCCATGAACTTACAAGAATGTCTTGCTCTTCTCCCATCACCTCCAGGGGTTTTAATGTCTGTGGCACAGTGTGTATCTTGAGAAGTCCATTGCAGCAAACATGTCTGAGTCCTGACAACTTAAAAAAGGAGAGAGGGATCAAAAGGATTTATATATTTTTTTGTACAGAGTTTTTTCTTAAACTGTATAATTTTGTAAATATTTTGCTTTTTTGTGTACTAAAATTACCGGCGTATAGATTTCAATAAGAATTGTTGTATTTTTGTATTTGGAAAATGAAATTTACAGTGGATTAATTAAGCTGTAAGAGAAATTGCGATAGCCTTCGACACACACAGAATGGATTCCTTTTCATATGGTTTTAGCTCTAAGTGACACTGGGGTGGCACCTGTGTCAGGTGAGGCAGCGAGGGCCATCTCTGAGAGCTGCATCCCATTGCAGTGTGCCCTCCCAGTGCCCCTGGCAGGTGCCGCAGTGCCAGGTGCCACCCCAGGGCTGGCAGTGCCCCAGCCTGGCCGTGCCCGGGGCAGAGGAGGAGGAGGAGAGGAGCTCTGTGGCACTGGCCTGCCTGCTGCCAAAGCTTATGCACCCCCTGTATTGCAGGGCATGCTGGGCCTGTCTTGGGGTGCTTTGGCTTGGATTTCTGTGTTTCCAGAGGCCCCAGGGCAGGACAACTGAGTTCATTTCATGGCGATGCTTTACTGGGAAATTCACCTGTGTACAAAACAGCCCTGGGGCTACCTGTGTGCCCCAGCCACGTGTACCAGCCTGAGCTAGGGCCGGACACTGAAGGATGAGGGGATGGGGAAAGGAAGTCACTGCAAAGAATTCCCTCCCTTTCTGTGCTGAATTAACCTGAGCAAAAATAAAAAAACCCACCTCTAATACAGAACCAGGCACCTGCTTAGGAAAGCACCACTTAGCAAAATCATGTGAAAAGGAACAAAGTTCCTCTTGGTGTATAGTAACCTTGTACTATAGTTTTTACAGATTGTGAACTTGTGTAATAGGATAATAGCAGATATTGTTGAATTTTTAATTGTTTACACATTAAAATTCATATATGTAATGTTTGTTTTATTGATTACAAGCCAAATTTCTAAGATGCATGTTGACTTTTTTTGCAATAAAGTTATAGTATGGAATGGTTCAAGATTTAGAAAAGACAAAATTCTAACTGAAATAAATTGGAAGGAGAGCCATTCAAAAAAATGACAACTCTCAGAAAAAGAGCATTATCACTTCTCTGGGGGGAAGTGGGTGTGTGAAGGGGGATTCATGTGTGTGTAATGTGTGTGCAGGTTTGGTTTAGGTCAGAGCTGAGAGAGAACTCTTCCAAGTGCCCCAGTGCTCTGGGACAGAATGCACTGAGCAGGTAACTGGGTGTGGGAGGAGATGGGGGCCAGTCAAGGCTGTTGGGCAGCTGTGGGGGCTCAGTTTAACAGCAGCTGGAGGAAGCTGTGCAGCCTGGGCTGGGTCCCCAGTCCCTTCCAGGTTTGCAGTGTTCTGTTGGACACAAATCCTGGCAGGACACACCTGCCGGTTCTGGCTCCTTTGTAGATTGGGGTGAAAACAAATGTGTTCTATTATTACCTTTATTTCTGGTCTTTGGCCCTTTCCCCAGTTCCTGTTATTCCCTCCTGCAGCCCCTCCCTGTACCTGCTGTGTCCAGGTGCTGCAGGGTCGTACAAAGCCTGGGTTTCTCTTCTGTGCTGCAGAGGAGCCTCTCCATGACAAACGGTGCCTTTGAGACGCCTCAGTGCCAGCAGTTAAATCTGCACCCTGCCCCAGCCCTGTCCCTGCCCAACCAGCCCCGTTCTGCAGGAAGCAGCGAGGTCCTTTAGGAGACAGATCCTGAAGCAGCAGGAGAGCTTCAGTGGGCAAAGCTCTTGCTGCTTCCTGTACCGTTAAAATTCATTTTAATGGAAAAGGGTGTACAAGGAGTTGGAAGGGGAGTAGCATTCGTGTGTGTGTGGCTTTGGATGTACTTTTCCCCAGCCATTCCAAAGGTGATCTGAGAGTTCCCTGAGCACAGCAGCAGCGTTCAGCAGGGTGGGACAGCTCTTCCCACAGCCCTGGGCCACAATCCTGCCAGGAGCCCCTTGGAAGGAAGCAGATGTCTACAGGAGCTATTTGGGGGGAACAGTCACATGAAGGTACAGTGTTGGTGTAATTGCCAGGCCAAGAATCTCTTTGTTGTCTCCAGCTGAGGCTGTATGGAATACAGCGCTAACTTCTGGAGAGGGTTCCCAACGGTGGCAATCTAATTTTAACTCAGCTCTGGAAACGGGGGACCCAGTTCTGTCCTCTGGAGCAGGTTGTGTAACATGTCTGGGCCTTTACTGATGAGATCACTGATACAAGGGACTTTCAAAAGGGAAAAATAAGTTTGTCTGATGTTTCTCTGGAGGTTTTCATATGCTGCCACCACTTTATTCCACAACAGACTTACAACTGTGATGATCAAAACCTAAATTCATTAACTAGAGCACTTTCTCACCAGGATCATTGCACCGACAGTTTCCAGTGGTAGTCTCAGGTAGGCTGATCCCTGAGGGGTGCTGTGTGCAGGGAGCCAGGCAGGCCGAGCAGGGTAAGGCCTCGTGTGCCATGCTGCCAGATGCCTCCTTCACCTGCAGCTTCCCCTTTTTCCCACCAAAAAATCCAGGTTTTTTCACTACGTTTTCATAGCATCCGGAAAACACGGTTTTTGTCAGAAACATCTCTTGGATTTGAAGTTCAAAAATATGTTTTACCTGATCAAGAGACTTCAGCCCAAATAGAACCCATGACAGGGGCAGAGGCGAGTGGCCAAGGCCAGAGGGGACCCCGCTCAGTACAGCGGGTCCCCCAGCAGCGGCCCTGTGCCAGCTAAGGGGCTCAGGGACCAGAGCCCGCACCGGGGTCGCTTTTCCACAATGCTCTGCTAATGCCAAAGGCTTTGGGAGCCGGGCTCAGCCGGGGCCGGCTCTCGCTGCCGGGAGCCCGGGCTGGGCGCTGCTGGGGCAGCTCCGGGGGATGCCCGGACCCTGCCCCGGAGCCCGGGCACAGGCCCGGACCTCCAGGACTGGGAGCAGCTCGGACCGCGGGGACACCGGCATCGCCCCCGCCCGGGCTGCGGCCGCTCCGCTGTCGTTCATCCCATGCATCGCCCCCCGCCCGGGCTGTGGTCGCTCTGCCGTAGTCCACCCCATTTCCAGGAGCCGGGTTCCGTCTGTGCCGCCTCTCCCGAGCCCGGCGGTGTGCGGGGCGCTGCCGGAGCAGCCTGCGCTCCGTGACGCGCGAGTTAATTATAGCCCGTCCTGCGCCGGCAACCTTAAAGCACTCCTGCCAGTGATTTATTTAAACGCTGATAAATTATACATTCCTTTAGTAATTCATGCGAAAATTATTTGAAGTCAACTCAACATCACGTAGCTCTCTCCGTGTGCTCTCTCGTGGTGAAGGCCCTGTCAGACAACGCTTCCATCCGCTCTTCCTTCAGCCGCTTCTCGAGGCTCTGGGTCACCTGCGGGCCGAGGACAGCGAGGGAGCTCTTGGCACACCCTCACTGCTCCAGTGTCGGCACCCGGAGGGAGCCGCCTCTGGTTTGACCAGCCCGGGCTGCCCCTGGCCTGGGGAGCAGTCTGCCCCTTCCCTCCGGGCCCCCCGGCCAACGCCGCCCGTGTCCCGTGGAGCAGCAGCCGTGAGGATGCAGAGCTGCTGCTCCAGGGCCGTGCAGGGCCGGGGCTGCTCGTGCTCCCACACTTGTGCTGGGCTGGCAGCAAACACCCTCACTGAGTGAGAGGGTGAGACTCTGGGGGCAGCCCAACGTGCCCGTGTTGCGCTTCTGTCCCCCCAGGATTGCCCTGAGAACATACAGCTGTTTCACTTGTTGATTAGCAAAAACATTAGGAGACCTACTGTTTCAGGGCATGTATAATTAATGTTTGTTCCTCATTAACTTCTTGTGGCAGAGTCCTGTTAGAAGCATTTAGATGTATTTCTAGAATTAGGAGCAAATATAACCAGATGCCTGGCAGCTGAGTGGTCTGTTCCACCCGTGGAAAGCCCCATTGCTCCCATCCTCTCTGGCAGGAAGGGGAGAGCTTGTTCTGATCAAGGACTGATGCATCCTTTATTGCAGTTTTAATTACAGTGAATGATCCATGTAAAAATTCTATAATTCATGTACACTACAAGTGAATAAAGGATGCCACTCCCAAGACAGTGGCCACCTGTTTTCCTGGAATCTCAAATCAAAACCTTGCTTCCTGAAAAATTCAAAACTAAGTTGCTGAACTTTCCACCTGCTGCTGCTGGACAAGGCTGTTTGTGCTGCCCCTGTCACCCAGCACAGCTTCAGCACTTCTCGTGCCCTGGTGGGGCCACAATGCTCTGCTAATGCCAAGGCTTTGGGGTTTGCTCTGGGATCGCACCCACCCAACAGCCCTGGAGC